GAAAGTAATCTAGTGTTGAAAGATAACTATGCACCCATTCATGATCCAAGAGGAAAATTCAAACCTAACTAAACTGGCCCCTACATCATCAAGACCATCTAGTCAAGAGAAGCGGTTATTCTTATGGATTTGGGCAGATTAGACTTCACACAACTGGTCAACATGGATAAACTGAAGAAATACTACCCTTGAGGGGCTCATTGGGCCAAACACCCAAAAGGGCGACCTTGGAAAAGTCAGAGCATTCAAAATGAAAAAAGAGAAAAAGGAGCTAGCAAGGTTGAAAACCCGAAAGACTGACTTTGGCAAAAGTTAAAGCGCAAAAAGAGAGTGTTAATACCCGATTGAATCTTAACCGAGAACTACGTAAGGCATGATTCCTATCCTTGGGATACATATGTAACTTGATTCTAAAGTACAGCCCCAACCATATATATAGACACCCTATTTTGACTAACCCGAAGACTTTGGGCAATTGTAGGCCTCCTCATGATAAATTGGTAACACTTACACCATTGGAATGTTGGAAATTTCTTTAGGTTGATGTAACACCCTATTTTGGCCAAAAAAACTACCTTTTTACAAAAATTTCCCTAAATCCATTTTTTCTGACGTTGAGAGATAAGAGAAGCTCAATTGCACTTGGTTTGATGGTACTTTCCCAAAATTACTAACCGATTTTATCAAAACATTGATCTAAGGACAATTTGAGCTTGCTTGGTCCATAAGTAAGCAAAAGCCATGCAAAGCCGCACCCAGCCATGTAAACCCACACCTCACTTACAAAATTGACACTTAGACTCCTAGTCGTACGTGAACTCGTACATGCATTGTGCATCGCACTTCTATTGTGCAGCCGCACCCCACCCTCCGATAGACAAAAATAGAAACTTTGCAAGGATGACAATGCGGAATTGGAGAGATGCACTAGGGAGAAAGTGATGGCTAACCCTAGCAGCCTCCTCTGACTTCCTCTCCAAGCTAGGAGCGCCTATAAAAGCAACCCTCCTCTCCCCCTCCTTTTCAAGGGGTTACAAAATTGTAAACCTTTTTAGAGCATTAGAGAGCTTGAGAGAAAGACACCCTCCCCTCTTCCTCTAACTCCGAAAATTTCCAATTGAACAGCAACTAAAACCTTCTAAGGATTGAAAGTTTGGATTATGATCAAAACCCTTTGCTCGAGGGGGGCATGCAAGCAAGAAAGTGAAGTTTTCTCACTTTCCCTTGCGTTTTCTCCAAAATAGTACCTAATCCTCTATCTTTTTATTATTTTTATACCTCTTTTATCTATATTTTCAGTAGTCAAGCATGTTTATGCTCTAGTTCATTCGAATATCATGTAGTTGCATATTTATTCATCTTTTACGCCTATTCTAGCATGATTTCTCTATGTTCATTAGAAGAACAAGTTTAGGGTTGTTTAATCATGTAGACATTATATATTAGGTCCGGTTTGAATCATTATATAGTCTTAGCATTTTTCCTTTTTTATTTTGCTATTTGTTCTTTTATATATATTCATCATTTATTAGTCTCGAATAAAGCCTAGATTCATATTTTGCATCTTTAAATATATATTAGGATCATATTTAATTTATTTACTGCATGAAAGACGCTGAAAGTGAGCATCCAGGTAAGTTTCCTTGATTCTGCATAGCATATACTCGTCTTTGTTTTATCACTTTTCAATTATGCAAATTAAATGTTTTTCTACGCAAAATTGTGTGTTTTGGATGTTTCTATGAATGCTATTTAATTTATGTTGGGTTTATAGTCATCAATTGATAAAATCTACTCTTTTTTTTTTTATTATCGAAAAATCAATATTTTTGGAAAATATGGATTTATTTCTTTAATCTAAAATAAATTATATTCTTATTTTATTTTATTTTATTCAAATCGCATAGTTTAGGATTAGGTAAAGGATTTTAGGCTAATAATGAAGTTTGTGAATAATTAACCATTAAAATCATAAAATAAAAAGTTAGTAAAGGACATTCCCTTTTTGTACCTAGGCTCTTGAACCTGGCATTTCATGGTTATCATAGATTGGTTCTTTGCTTAGTTTTTAGTGTTAAAGGTTTCCTAATTCCCCTCTTACAAAAAAAATAAAGTGGAGACTCTTTGTGGGTCAAAGCAAGTTGGTGTGAGAAATAGGCCTTAGACTCGAAAAAGGCACGACACCCACAATATGCATCCCAACCATATCCATTCCAACCATTTCCATCTCAAGCCACACCCATCCATGCCATGTGTAAATTCAGGTACTCCAGTTCGATGTTATGTTTTGGGTTGTATCCACACTAAGTGCTCTTGAAAAGTCAATTGCAAGAAGGATGTTAGTAATTCAAGTTGCAGTGATTGCAGTAAGTTGTTGTTTAGTCTTGACCCGAGGTTATCCATTCCAGGAATCGATTCCATGCTTGTCAAGTTTTGACTGTTTCAAAAATTATTTTGACTTGTTTTAATAAAATGACTGGTTTTCCTTACTATACTTGTTACAAGCATTTAATCATTCATGGAACAAAAAGGATGCTTTTCAGTACTCTAACCTTTCTCTTTTGCATTGATTTCAAAATACAAGTGGAATGTACATGTTTAACTAAATCTCATTTCGATCAAAACTTTTTCCAATAAAAAGGTCAAAAAATAGTAGACTAGGGGCACGATATAAGGGTCAAACGTCAGTCTTTTGTCTCTTTCTAATTGCCCAAGAGTCTTTACCATCTACTCCTCATCAACACATATCTCATCCTCCAGCTAGAGAAGGTACTCATCAGACAAGGCAAAACTAAAGTCGGTCAAAGGGGAAAAGAACTCTCTATCTATCCATGCAGCTCGGAACCACGGGAAATGACTAGTACGAAAATAGTAGGCAACTAAGTACAACATAGGCCCAACTAGACAAGTCTGCTCTCACTCAAATTACTGTGTAAACCTAAAGGGAAAGTAGTACACACTACAAGACAGCCTAACAATCTGAACGCTCAGCTCTCGAGACATCCTGTGGGTCATGGTCGACAGATCCAACCAAGGGCACCTACAAGTGATATCACTCTTTGATAAAGTAGATATCAAATCATACCACTCCCTCTCTATCCCAAAGTCCATTAAGCAAGCCCAAGAATGGTAAGACACTACAAGATACTGAGTGGTGGGCACCGCTAGCCTCAACATATCCTTGAGCCATATCTAGGAAGGGTTGAAAAATAAGAGAGATTAAAGAATAGAGAAATGTCAGATGAGTGGAAAAAATGAGAATGGGGATAGAAAAAAATGAGTTTTGAGATATCGAGTGATGTAAGAAATCGAAAGTGAGCAAAAAGTGAGAAACATTGTACCTGAGGGAGCAGTGGGCTACTCGCAAAGTGCCTAATTTCTCTGATGTAAACATCATCAAGACCCATCAAGGTCTTTACCAATACTAAACCAATACAGCTCCAATCTCCTGGAAGAAGCTGAACCACCTCAACCAAAGCAACACTGGATCTACCAGTACCAGAAGCTAACAAGAAATGGGCCATCATACATATATTGAGGGCAGATTTTGTTATCTTGAAAACGGCTGTCGCTACAGTCGCAGGCACTAGAAAACCTACGCATCACTTGGGGAATGGAAAGCTTCCACCCGGTAACCAAGGACCTAGCCTCACTTCAGGGTAACTCGCAAATCTAAGCAAGAATGCTACAATGGTTAATCTGACGTGAAGCCAAGTTGATCTTGTCCCAGCTACACCCCATCAAGGCTCAAAACTTCTCAAAAGTTGGGCATATCTCTTGAGAGCCGAATCAGAAGACATGAGTCATTGGATCCCAAAATATAGTTGCAGCCCCGAAGAAATGTGAAGTCCAAAGGAACCCAATAAAGGTGGAAAAGTGCATTAAGGCCAAAGTTGATAAAATTTAACCTATTGCACCCGTCCAAACCATCCATCCAATCTTCGAGTCTTGAAAAGATTTGGGAATCCATTTCTAGCCAGAAGAAAAAAGAATGTTGTTGTTACGGGCGCTAAAACTGATGAGAAGTGCTTAAAAAGGAAAAAAAGGTTGCTTTGGGCACAAGAGAACAAATAGTACATGCTAGGGGGGGATGGTCAGACCTCTTCTCAATGGCCAGATGTTATCTTGACATGCCAGAATACTTTAGTGGAGGATATCTCAGCCGGATCGTTTCCCCTTGGCCAATTCTTTTAGGCGGTTACAATTTGTTTGTCTCTTGAGTCACTTTTCTTCATTTTATTTGTTTCAATTGTATGTTGTTATTATCAAGTTGTATTTTTAAGATTGTCGTGTCATCTAATTAAAGATTCTATGAATGCTCAACCATCTTCATTTTGGGTCAAATAAAATTATTCAAGTGCTATGCCAAATTCACTGTGCAGGCATTTTCAAAAAGGAATTCTCATTTCATTAAACAGAGATTTGAACTAGAGGTGCTTAGCAGATATCTCGATCCGCCTAAACCGACCGAACCGAATTGAACCAATCCCCCACATTTTGGACGGATAGGTGATGACAAGCAGACAGTTATGGATTGATTTTTTCCAATCCGCCTAGTTTTGGACGAACGGCGGATTTGAGGTTCCTTTAGCGGTAACCGAAACGCCAAACCGCTAACACTCCTAGTAATTTGTAAGACTTTGTATTTTTAATTTGTTTAGATATTCTGTTTGTGTTTTCAATTAAAAAAATGTTTGGATATTTTGTTGTGTTTTCAATTTGGAAATCCTTTTATCAAATGGCAAGTGTTGATATTTTGTATTTTGTATTTTGTGTGGAAAATATAAAGTTTAATTTTCTCATTTAAAAAAAAATCAAACTAAATAGTTTTTGAATAAAAAAAAGTAATGAAATAGTTTTGATAATGCATGGTTTTCTTATATGTATTTATTATTGGTATTTGACAATTTACTTGATAATCTTTTGGTTATGTTGCGTTGGATTGTTATCCAAAAAAAATTGTTAATAAGTTGTGGTATTATGTTCAAAATTTGTAGAAGTTTAAGCTACCAAACTGATTCGCATCTATCCGCCAATCCGGCGAATCGATGGTGGATTAGAGGTTCCCTGGCGGCAACCGAACCATAAGCACCCCTAATTTGAACCCATGATCAGGTATTCCCCAAACAAAAAAGCTGGTGCTATCTTACCAACACTTTCAAAAATAGGGAACTCCTAACTAAAAGAAAAATGGTCTAAAGCAAACCCTTAGGCTCCCCTTCTCCTCCTATGCCATGTAGCAGAAGAGCTCGAGGCATTAGCGGAGAGTGATGGAAATATGCAACCTGAGACAACAATAACCAGATTACCATCATTCCTATCATCTTTGTTGATGATGGTTATAGAAGATATTGGAGCATGAGGAATGAGGGAGCTCAGCGAAACCTACAAAAAGAATATCAACATCAGAATAATGCAAGGAATTGAGCAAAGATGGAAACATGAACTGAAGAATTGGACAAGAACATAACCTTGTTAAAGAAATCAACAGGAGCCCTAGCTACATCTTCTATGTCCAAAACTCCACCTTGGTCGTTGTTCTGATCTCGGTCAAGTCTTTTACTACGATCTCCTCCCTAGCCTCATCTAGGTTTTGGAAACACCATGAGTTCGTCCAGTGTGATAAAGCCGCGACCACAAGTTCTAGTCCGACTTTCTCATCCATTAAAAGAAGGTTACAAGAATAAATCTCCCTAAAAAATGGGAAGTAGATAGGGCACATCCTCATCAACCATGAGCAAATCAAGAACATATCTAAAAAAATGAGAGAAAGAGTAGGTAAATCAATGGCAAAGCCACCATAGGAAGGGAAGAATAATTCAAGATAAAGGGGAAATATGAGTTTTTCAGCCAAAGTAAATCGAAAATGGAAGAAAAATGCCCATAGTGATGAGAACAACCTCTAAAGGCAATATAAACATAGAAAAAAAAGAGAGAATCCAAGGGAAAAAAGGAATGTCATAATGCATGTGAATAAGGTAGCAAGTCGGCAAAAAAGATGTAAACTACGCAACAACTTTGAGCAGTATGATTTGAATCTAGAAAGGTATCGACGAAGCTCCATGGCCAAACAACCTCCTCACGACTAAACATTTTATGTGACACACATGGAAAAAGTGCAGGAAAATTGAAAGATGAGCAAAATTGAGCAATATTAAGCAAAAATTAAACATAAATGAGTCAACCCATAGTAGAATTCAAATCAAGCGAGGGAAAAGTTGTAATATTTGTATGTCTTCCAACTCTCATTTCTTTCTCTCTTTTATTTATATGCTTACTGTGGTAGCATCATATTTTTCGTTCCATAACATTGCTATGATTTCTATCCATTTTTGCATACATTGAGTTCGGTTCATCATTTTAATATCATTGTCATTTCTTATTACTTGAATATGTGCTTTAACGCATGTTTTGAGTTGACCCATATGACATGTTAAATAAATTGAACTTCATAGATGCATTTTCGCATGTGTTGCATTAGTCACCTTACATATTAGAATGATGCATTTTTCTAACTATATTCTTTTCTTTGGCTTGCCTCAGAGTACTAGGTAAGCATTTTTGTTTTAGCATATTGCATGTGTGCTTGTGTTGCCATGATAGGCATACTACCATGAGGCTACCTGATTATTTGAAATAGCTCTTTGAATGCCTATGGATGAAGGCTATTTTGCTCAAGTTGGAATTACTTTGATTAGTGTACATGTGAGCTCACTTTTTCAAGTAGCACATATTCAAACCTCTTTTGAAACAAACATGAAATCAAAGCATTCTAAAGTGGGTGACGTAGTCTATACTTGTGTGCCTCACACAGTAAATTAGTATAATAATTAGAATATGAACATATACTATCCTTAAAAATCACATCATGATTAGTAGAGGTCGATCTTTGATCGAGTGAGTGGGGTTGTCAATTCATGACCTTCTCCTCTCATACCTAAGTTCCCGAGCCCAGACACTTTGATTATGATGGACAAGTGGCCTTTGGCACAAGTCACGGGTTTCTTAATTTTTTCCAAAATATTTAGATGGCGACTCTGAAATCTGGCAATGAAGTCCATTTTTGGTATCTCTGATGATAAATGGATTTTCTAAAATTTGAAGAACTTGAACTCTCATTCTTTCTTTCTTTTTCTGTTTCACATTGCACTTGTGAAACCAGTTTCGGAACTACGGAAGTCCGAACTATAGGGCTATCTTACCCAAGGAAACCAAACCCCTCCAAGGAGCACAAAAAACAGGCTACAGTTTCTAACGACTCTGTTGGGGATATTTGGAGAACTTGACTTGGACTTCGTGATGTGACATTTTATTTATAGATATACGTTCATTGCATTGCATTTGCATGGTGCTTTAAGTCACTGTGTTTACCATCTGATATCCTAGACGACTTATCGGAGGCTTGCCAAAAGCTTACCAAAAGGCTAGTCAGACATAGGCAATGTCACGTTGGGAATACAACCCTTGGATTTGGGTTATCGTTGTACCGCTTGAACCTCCTTTCACTTTTCGTTGTTAGATGGGAGAGGTATATTAGGTAACCTTGTTGAGGTACCTCTTTTGACCAATTGGTCTAGTGCATATAATAAAGCTCTAGTGACTGTTCCAACACAGGACAAAATGCTCACCCGTATGCAGGATTTTGTGAAACTACTCGCTTGAAGTAGTGAAACCCTAGATCATACCAAAGCTAGGACAGGGTAACCCTACCCCCTCATAGGGGGTTTTGGTTGTCTTTACTTGGTATGTGCTCTACAGTGAAATTATACAGGGGTGCTTCATATCAATGGTATAGTTGGTATCAATTTGTGAGGCAGAATTCAGTGAGGAGTACCGTCTTACAGCTATGATCACATCTGTTCTGATGAATCTTGGCTGAGGTGCTGTTCGATTTCTATTTGTTGCTTTTTCCTTACTTCTTTTGCTAGGTAGTCTAAAAACCATAGCTTCAGAAAGTTCTGATATCCCCCAAGTGCTCTAGACCCATGTCAGAAGACTTTGTAAGGTTGGAGATCTTGTTCAGGGACAGCCATGGTTTGCCTCACTGTCACCAATTACAAGGGGAGGAAAGGTCAAGCGGGGTTCACCAGTTCAGTTATTTCAGCAATCACCTCTTAGCTCACCTATTCTCACCGTAAGCACAGTCACCTACATCTAGAATGGCTTAGTATCTATCATCAAACGTGGAGGAATTAATGATTCGTTTGCAGCAATTAGTCGGCTCGCTCTAGCACGACATGGCCCATCAAGTCAAGGTCATAAATAGGTTGGAACAATAACAACAGCAGCCGGTTGTGGCCTGTGCTTCACATATACCTAACGTGGCTACTCCTATACACAGTACCACTGCTAATGCTACTACAACTCAGGATCCACCAGCTAAGAGGGTTCTTACTTTTCCTATCCAGGCGGACCCAATTCCAGTACAGATGTGTAGAGCTCCAGTTTCCCAGACTAAGGCACATTCTGAATTAAAGGTTGACCCTACCTTGCTCAAAGTCAACAAACTGGAAAAACTGTTCAAGAAGGCACGGTGGGTTAACTCCATTCCAAATATGGAGGATGGGTATACTGAATCTGCAGTTACTTTGCTGGAGTGGTTCAAAATGTTGTATATTGATTGCTTTGATGGCGCTGGCAATCCAACAGTATATCTATGTCTATTTTCTTATATCTTGCGGCTAATGGGTTTGACCAAACTTCAGAAGTTGTCGCTCTTTGGCCAAACCATGTCAGGTATAGCTTTTATCTGGTATGCTAAATTGGAGGACTATGAAACTGAGCTAGGAGGAATTAGCCAAATCTTTCATTGCTCAATACTCCTACAACACCCAAATTGAGGTCACAACTTGTGATCTTAAAGCAACACGTTAGGAGCCAAATGAGGGTTTCTCAGAGTATGTAACTAGGTGGAGGGCTAAAGCATCGATGATGACCACCTGACCCTCTAAAAAGGACCAAATCTGAATTGTTGTTTGGAATCTTCACGCCAAGCTACTGCAGAAGATGATCGTTCTCCCCTTATTCATGTTCAAGGAACATCATGACATAGGAGTTTAGATTGAAGACATGATAAAGCAGGGTATCATTGTAGATGACAAGGAGCAGGCCAAGAGGTCTTTTATTTGCAGTTCCAATGTTGTCAAGGGTAGCATAGTTGTGAGACCTTCAAAGGTGAGTGTTATCACCATTACCAAACCTGTCGGCCTATTTGCCAATATGAACCCACAAACTTCCAATCCTACCCAAAACCAGAGAACAGTCAATCAATTGCCCATGACTCTATCTCGAGCCATGCAGGGGTTAATAAAAAAAGGGCACTTGAAACCCCTAGACCCTCAACCACTTCCAGACCCTCTCCTACCTAGGCACGATTCCACCAAGTACTATGTCTTCCATCAACAACATGGCCACGAAACCGATAAGTGTTACCGCCTACGTCATGAGAATTAAGTCTCATCGACAACAAAGTTATAGCTCCATCCCAAAAGCCAAACACCATAACCAACCCACTACCCAATCATAACCAAGTACCACCCCTACCACGCACCAATTACATCCATACACTAACCCCGTCCTATGACTCGAGCATCTATATCACCCCCTCTCGTCTACCAAAGCCGGTGTTGTTCATCTCTGATTGCATAGACTTGTGCATGGTAAACACATCCAACCCACAATCTGAACCCCATAAAGCCGTGATGACAACACCTAAAGAAGAGGAGGCTTTGACCTTGCAAGGAAGTACCGGTCTGTCGCTAGAAATTCTTGGGGAATTATCTGAGGGAAAATACGAGATGAGTCGATACATTGTTCCTAATGTTCAACCTAAGCCTATGGTAGTACTGCCGAGCTCAGTTGATGTTAATGTGGTCAAAGAAGACGACCCAAGCCAAGGGCTGGATGATCTTATAAATCTTGAGAAGGATTTGGATAACCTCCAATTCTTCAAAGAACAGGACTAGGGCAATGTGTAGATCGGTTAGTTTGATCTGAGCCTGTCGGTTGATAATCGAGGATGGTTAAGTGATGAATCTAACAAGGAAGAGAAAACTAGAGTGAAGTCTAAGGGAAAGAAAATCGTGGCAGCGGCGGTAGCTAGGGAAGTTGAACAGAAAGGAAAATTGCCTAAGAGTAGTAATACATAAAAACAAACCCAAGAATTGGGTGTTGATGAAATCGTAGATGCTAAACGGAAAGCTATGCTGGAGCTGTTTGAGTGAGGAGATGATCAAAGGTAACATGAAGGCCGCAACACCTTGTCGCCTTGAGGGGGATCATTGCCCTGTAGGAGTGATTCAAGTGGAGCCAGATAACTGTTTGTTAGCAATTAAAGATGAAGGTGAATAGTGCGAAGACAACGATTTGCATCTTGCTCACACAGACGAAGACTAGAGAGATCACATCCCTAATGAGACTTGGTATGCCGAAGAGATAGATCACCTAACCAGGAGTGGATGGCATTTCAAGTCTCCACACTTAGACCAAATAGAACCCTCAGGAAAGACCAGAGAGATTGAGAAGGAAAAGGAAAAGAAGCTGGAGAAGGAGCTGGTTCTAAAATAACTGAACAAGATCCAAGCTGGCATTTCCATTTGGGGCCTCCTTATGGCTTTACGAGTACACCGACAGGCAGTTTTGTCAGCGATGGATAAATCTAAGTTGTCCATTGATACTACACCAGAGCAACTCGTCTACCTGATCTTCCTAGGTAGCACCAAGCCTGTGCTCACCTTTTCTGATAAAGAGTTGCC